GTTTGAAAACCCGTAACTTCTAACTTAGATCAAGTTGGGAGCTGAAATTCTGAGGATCTACAGAATGAACGTCCTTCTGAAATTTCTGAAAATTTCGTTCGAATCGCATTCAAACCTGATCTCTGCCAACGTTTTAATTGTTGGCATTAAAAACAACGTTTCCGTGTAACTACACGCTGATGTTTGAAAAACCGTAACTTTCAATCCAGAAGAAGTAGCAAGTTGAAATTTTGCATACCTACAGAAAATACTTGAGTCTGAAAGTCCTGAAAATTTTATTCGAATCCCATTGAAACCTGATCTCTACCAACGTTTTGATTGTTAGCATAAATGTCAACGTTTCCATAAAACTACACGCTGATGTTTGAAAACCGTAACTTCTAATACAGATGAAGTAGAGAGTTCATATTCTGAAGAGTTATAGAACGAACTGCAATCTGAAACTTCTGAAAATTTCATTTAAATCCCATTGAAACCTGATAATTGCCAACGTTTTTATTGTTGGCATGAAATTCAACGTTTAAATGAAACTACACGCTGATGTTTGAAAACTCGTAACTTCTAACTCAGATCAAGTGGGGAGCTGAAATTCTGACGATCTACAGAATGAGCCTCATTCTGAAACTTCTGAAATTTTCGTTCGAATCGCGTTCAAACCTGATCTCTGCCAACGTTTTGATTGTTGGCATTAAAAACAACGTTTCAGTGTAACTACACGCTGATGTTTGAAAAACCGCAACTTTCAATCCAGAAGAAGTAGCAAGTTGAAATTTTGCAGACCTACAGAAAACACTTGAGTCTGAAAGTCCTGAAAATGTTATTAGAATCCCATTCAAACCTGATCTCTACCAACGTTTTGACTGTTAGCATAAATGTGAACGTTTCCATAAAATTACACGCTGATGTTTGAAAAACCGTAACTTTCAATTCAGGAGAAGTGGCGTGTTGAAATTCTGTAGACCTACAGAAAACACTTGAGTCTGGAAGTCCTGAAAATTTCATTCGAATCCCAGTGAAACCTGATCTCTGCTAACGTTTTGATTCTTGGAATAAATGTCAACGTTTCCATAAAACTGCATGCTGGTGTTTCAAAAATTGTAATTTCTTATTCAGATCAAGTGGGGAGCTGAAATTCTGACGATCTACAGAATCAATGGTTACCTTGAAGGCTGGCGAAGAGTTTCTCAGCATTATACCGGGTGCTCAAGTGGATATAGGCATAGTCTTTGAACTTGTAGACTTTATCCACTAAGCTGCGATCAATCAAGTCGTAGATGAAGCGAGTGAAGTCTTCGGGCGGCTCCGTTACATTCAGGTTCCTGAGGAACAGAATTTTCACCTGCAAACCAAACAAAGCACTAATTAGCCATCATTTTGTGAACGCTGGGTTTAACTAGAAAAAGTTTGCTGAACGCCAGCCAGATAATGAACATTTGCTGCAACCTGATACGAGCCCCTGGAATCAGAAAATCCTGAAAAATCATGGACTCAAAATGATCGTTGCCCCCCAAGTGGCAACAGGAAAGTTTCACGATTAATGGGAAGAAGATCTGAGGGTCTAAAACTGCTGGAAGTTCGGGTTTCTGTCCACCAATTAAGCGTAGGTGTTCAAATGTTCAAAACATCCTGGCTTCTAATCGGGAGCAAGTGGCACCATGAAGCTATCGCAATCAATTGAGGACTCTTGAACCTGAGCAGAGGTGGGCCCCAAAATGAAAATTTCCGCAAGCGCCTCAAGCAATCTTCACCTCTAATTGGGGGCAACCAGCTTGAACCTCTGACAGTCTGTATAAGAGCAGCTAGAAAACAGTGAAATTTTCATTAAAACATTCCAGTTCCCCCGCAAATAAAAAAAAAAGCGACCGCTCTACCCATTTTTGCCTCTGTCCCCGCACATTCACCATTCAACAGCAAAATTCGAAAAGAACAAGAGACGCATGCCTTTTCTGGTACTCCTGCAGAGGGCTTCTGACGCTGTCCTTGTCCTTGTCCCGCGGCAGGCACCGACCAATCCACCAACACTTTCTTACCAAACAGACGCAATCTGTCCTGGAACTTGTCCCTAAACTGGGCGGCTTCGTCATGGGTGCGAAACTCCAGGAAAACAAAGCCCCGATTGTAGAGCGGATTTGCGTGGTTCCGATAAGTGATCACATCGACAATGTTCTGGACGCGATACGCGGCCAGCAATTCTTGCCAAATGTTGTCTTTGCTCTTCTCGATCGGGACGCCCCCGATAAAAAGGCGCCGATTATTCGTCGATTGTTTGATGGTGAGGAGCGTGGCGGGGTTCATAAAGGGCTGGTTTCGCAGCTCCGTTAACGCTCGTTGGGCCCCATTTTTGTCCAGATAGGTGATAAAAGCGTAGCCCCGGTTCAGCTCGCTTTTGTACTTCATCACCAGGGTGGCCTGGAAGAGATCGCCAGTTTGCTGGAAGAAACAGAGCAGATCCAAGATGCTGGCTTTGGCTGGAATGTTCGACACGAAAATCTCCGCCGCTCTTTCTGGACGGAAACCGGTGTTTTTGATCGGGTTGTGCACCGCCCTGCGTCGCGCTGACGTTTCGTAACAGTAGCCCTCCATCTTCAGCAATAAACTCTTTCAACTTGATCGAAGCCCGAGAGAAAATCGCAAAACGAACTGATTCGAACCAAACGAATATTCCAGAATCGAATGCAAAAGTTTGGCACTTCGTCCAAAATGGTGGACTGGGCGGGGCGTTGGCTTGGCAGCCATCAAAGAAGAAACAAACAGTCTTCTACCATTTTCTATTTGCCGGCTGAGCTTTTGAAGCAGCGCCTCGAAAGTTTTCGCACTGCCAACGCTAATTCGATCGGCCCTGAACGGAATGGCGGATAATCAAATGTTGCAATTTTCGAAGCTGGTGGTGCGCACAAAGGCTTCCAGACTGGAAATGTTGGTTCAAGACTTCCTGATGGTGGCTACGATCCGAAACTTGTCATCTTATTGCTGGCCCAGAAAATAGGGATTCCGGACAAATGTTCCTGACACCGGCACACTCTTTCTTGTTAATCTTCAATCCGCGGCAAAGTAGCGCCTTAAGATTCTGACAATGTACAGAAGACACCTCAATCTGAAACTTCTGAAAAATTTATGCAAATCGCACTAAATGCTGATCTTTGCCAACTTCCTGAATGTTGGCTTGAAAGTTAAGGTTATTAAATAACTGCACGGTCTTGTTTAAAACGTCGCAACTCTCAATCTAGAAGAAGTAGCCAGTTGAAATTCAGAACATCTACAGAACAGACTTCAAGTGGAAACTTTTGAAAATTTCATTCGAATCGCATTTAAACCTGAGCGCTGCCAACGTTTTGATTGTTGGTATGAAACTCAACGTTTTAGGGAAACTACACGCTGTTGTTTGAAAAACCGTAAGTTCTGATCCAGAACAAGCACAGAGTTGAAATTCTCCGAATATACAGAAAATACGTCAATCTGAAACTTCTGAAAGTTTTATTGGAATCACACTCAATCCTGATTTCTGCCAACGTTTTGACTGTTGGCATGAAAATCAAGGTTTGAGTGCAACTACACTCTAATGTTTGGAAACCCGTAACTTCTAACTCAGATCAAGTGGAAAGCTGAAATTCTGACGATCTACAGAATGAATTTAATTCTGAAACTTCTGAAAATTTCGTTCGAATCGCATTCAAACCTGATCTCTGCCAACGAATTTGATTGTTGGCATTAAAAATTATATTTCAGAGTAAACACATGCTGATGTTTGAAAAACCGTAACTTTCAATCCAGGAAAAGTGGCGTGTTGAAATTCTGTAGACCTACAGAAAACACTTGAGTCTGAAAGTCCTGAAAATTTCGTTCGAATCCCATTGAAACCTGATCTCTGCTAACGTTTTGATTATTGGCATAAATGTCAACGTTTCCATAAAACTGCATGCTGATGTTTCAAAAATTGTAATTTCTTATTCAGATAAAGTAGAGAGTTGAAATTCTGAAAATCTACAGCATGAGCTTCGGTCTGAGACTTCTGAAAATTTCATTCGAATAGCATTCAAACCTGAGCTCTGCTAACGTTTTGATTGTTGGTACGAAACTCAACGTGTTAAGGAAACTACACGCTGATGTTTGAAAAACCGTAACTTTCAATCCAGAAGAATTAGCAAGTTGAAATTTTGCAGACCTACAGAAAACACTTGAGTCTGAAAGTCCTGAAAATTTTATTCCAATTCCATTGAAACCTGATCTCTACCAACGTTTTGGTTGCTAGCATAAATGTCAACGTTTCCATAAAACTACACGCTGATGTTTGAAAAACCGCAAGTCCTGATCCAGAACAAGCACAGAGTTGAAATTCTGCAAATATACAGAAAATACGTCAATCTGAAACTCCTGAAAGTTTCATTGGAATCACACTCAAACCTGATTTCTGCCAACGTTTTGACTTTTGGCATGAAAATCAAGGGTTGAGTGCAACTAGACGCTGATGTTTGAAAACCCGTAACTTGTAACTCAGATCAAGTGGAGAGCTGAAATTCTGACGATCTACAGAATGAATTTCATTCTGAAACTTCTTAAAATTTCGTTCGAATCGCATTCAAACCTGATCTCTGCCAACGATTTGATTGTTGGCATTAAAAATTATATTTCAGAGTAAACACATGCTGATGTTTGAAAAACCGTAACATTCAATCCAGGAGAAGTGGCGTGTTGAAATTTTGTAGACCTACAGAAAACACTTGAGTCTGAAAGTCCTGAAAATTTCATTCGAATCCCATTGAACCCTGATCTCTGCTAATGTTTTGATTCTTGGCATAAATGTCAACGTTTCCATAAAACTGCATGCTGGTGTTTCAAAAATTGTAATTTCTTATTCAGATAAAGTAGAGAGTTGAAATTCTGAAAATCTACAGAATGAGCTTCGGTCTGAGACTTCTGAAAATTTCATTCGAATAGCATTCAAACCTGAGCTCTGCTAACGTTTTGATTGTTGGTACGAAACTCAACGTGTTAAGGAAACTACACGCTGATGTTTGAAAAACCGTAACTTCTAATACATATCAAGTAGAGAGTTGATATTCTGAACAGTTATAGAACGAAGTGCAGTCTTAAACTTCTGAAAATTTCATTCAAATGCCATTGAAACATGATAATTGCCAACGTTTTTATTGTTGGCATAAAATTCAACGTTTAAATGAAACTACACGCTGCTGTTTGAAAAACCGTAACTTTCAATCCAGAAAAAGTAGCAAGTTGAAATTCTGCAAATATACAGAAAAGACGTCCGTTTGAAACTCCTGAAAATTTCATTGGAATCACATTCAAACCTGATCTTTGCCAACGCTCTGACTGTTGGCATGAAAATCAAGGTTTGAGTGCAACTACACGCTGATGTTTGAAAATCCGTAACTTTCAATCCGGAAGAAGTAGCAAGTTGAAATTCAGCAAGTGTACAGAAAACACGCCAATCTGAAACTCCTGAAAATTTCATTGGAATCACGCTCAAACGTGATCTCTACCAACGTTTTGATTGCTAGCGTAAATGTCAACGTTTCCATAAAACTACACGTTGATGATTAAAAAAGCGTAACTTCTAATGCAGATCGAGTAGCGATTTGAAATTTTATTGCAGGTTAACAGAGAAGACTTCATTCTGAAACTCTGGAAAAATTAGTTTTGATCGCGTTCAATCTTGATCTTTGCCAGCGTATTGAATGTTGGCAAAAATCAACGTTTCAGTGAAACTGCACGCTGATGTTTAAAGACGCGCAACTTCCAGCCCAGAACAAGTAAGGACTTGCAATTCTGGCCATCTAGAGAACAAGTTTCGGTCCCAATCTGCGAAAATTTGGTCTCGAATCGGATCAGATCCTGATGTTTTGCAACCCTGTTAAGCATGCACCTTCGTCTTAAAAGAACCCTGGTTCGAACCTCGAACAGGCAGCGACTTGACGGAAATTTTCGCATCATATAAGTAGAAGACGCTTTAGTCTGAAAACTCTGAAAAGTTGATTCAAATCGCATCAAGCCCTGAAAAAAACCAGGCAATTGTTTGACGACTTGTTGGAAATATCTGAGCAAAGACGTCATGCCTTCCGGTTCATTCCTGTTCAGCGCACACCAACAGAACTTTATAGTAGTTTGGGCGAATTTTCGCTTACCTTCGAGGCTTCGTGCTCGTCCATCTCCTTAAGAGGAATCGCCCAGGTAACCGACATCTTCTTGCCGAACATATACAGCTTGTCCCAGTATTTTGCCCGAAAATACGAGGCCTCCTCATGGGTGCGAAACTCCAGGAAGGCGAAGCCCCGATTATGGGCAGGATTCGCATAACTCCTGTAGGTGATCACATCGACAATGTTCTCAATCCGATAGTCATAGCGAAGCACGTTCCGCACGTCGTATCGCGACTTGTTGGTCGGAATGCCGTTGATGAAGATCCTGCAATTGTCCACGGACAATTGCAGGTTCAATTTAGTCTTGTTCTGGAACAATTTGTCTTTGAGCTTGATCAGGGCCATCTTGGCCAGCTGCTTGTTCATGTAGGTAACGTAGGCGAAGCCGCGATTCTGCACCCCGTCCGGTTTCGTCATCAGCTTGATCTCGAACACTTCGCCGATCTGTTCGAAAAACTGCAGAAGATCGTGGATGCTGCTCTTCTGCGGAATCCCAGTCACGAACAGTTCGGAGTGTTTTTCCGGCACGAAACCGTCGTTTTTCAACGGCGAGTACATTTTCTTGCGATAGTTGCTGTCCTCGAACACTTTGGGTTCTCGAGAGGCGGCCATCGCGATCCTCACTTGACAACTTCACTACTAAAGACGCTAAAGTGTTCAAAGCGAACCCTAATTGTCGGCACTCTTCAAAGGGTTTTCGATTTTTTCCGTTAAAACCAGCAACAATTGAGCCGGTTTGTACCTTCAACTGCAATAAATTGTGGGCGAAGAAACTTTGCAAGCGACGCGTTCACCCGGTCTGTATTCGAACTGCCTATCCTGTGTAGGTCTTGGTGAGCACTGTTTCATTCTTGCCACAAATATACTATTTATTGCCCAATCTGCGCCGTTTTGCACATTTGCCATGATGTTTTTATGGTGAAACTGTCGATCTAGCCTTGAATTCTTCACGGGTTCCATTGTTAGCGGACTGCTTCAGCTCAAAGTATCGAGTTTCAGTCTGATTCAAATCAGAATCAAAGAGTATCTTTGATCGGCGGCTCCATTTTAAGGTAATAAACGCTTCGGCACAAGAACGCAAATTTAGATCTTTCTTATAACAACAAACAGTTTTATACGATCAACTACGCCCGTGTCGGCTTTCGGTGTTTTTGATGTTGAGAAAAGGTCCCATTGATGGCTAATGTTCAAAGCTTGCCAGCTTAACTAAACAAACGTTGCAGATTCGGCTCCGAACTCAGCTTTGTCGGAATGTGCAATTTTTGCCTAAAATAAGCTGCTGCTTTTCCCATTTGATCCAGAAAGCATTCGTTTGCAAAAGCTGGCAACTTCAGCACGGCTTTTTTGAGCTTGGAGAGTTTTGGAACATCAACCCAATGCCTTCTTATGGACGGATCATGTAGGCCAGCTTTTCAGGTCGGAGTCTACCCAATCGCGGCCATGGTTTTCCCAGCAATTGGTAGGCAAAACTATCTTATAAATGTTGAAAATTTCACTTAAAAATCTCTGTTTTCTGAACATGGGCAATTTTCCAAATTCAAGCTCAATAATTGCAGACTTATGGGTCATGCAAGTTCCGATTTTAGCCAATCGAGACCAGCTGAGACGATAATTTCTCCTGCAGGTTGAAGAGAAAACACGGTTTATAACCGATATAAGTCTCCATTCAAGCTCCGATTATAGCCGATCCAGACTAGCTGAGTCGGCAGTTTTTCTAGCTAGTTGAAGAGGAAAGATTGGTTTGTAAGTGCTAGCAATTTAGCGCCAAAATTCATTTTTCCTGCTATTGGAGAATTTTTCAAAAGTGGACTAAATCACTGCGTCCTTAGAGGCGGGTCATGAACCGTCGCACATAAGTTCGACTTTAGTGAATGAACTGCAGATTATAAATTTATTTTTTATTAGTTTGTTGCAAAATCCGTTACGTAAATACTGGAAATTTGACTCAAAAATCTTTTTTTCTGATCCTGGGGAATTTTTCAAAAACACTCACAAACTGCAATCTGTTCCATTCAGTTGAAGCCTCCATTCAAGTTCCGATTTTAGCCAATCCAGACCAGCTGAGACGATAATTTCTCCTGCAGGTTGAAGAGGAAAGATTGCTTTGTAAGTGCTAGCAATTCAGCACCAAAATTCATTTTTCCTGATATTGGAGAATTTTTCAAAAGTGGACTAAATCACTGCGTCCTTAGAGGCGGGTCATGAACCGTCGCACTTAAGTTCGACTTTAGTGAATGAACTGCAGATTATAAATTTATTTTTTATTAGTTTGTTGCAAAATCCGTTACGTAAATACTGGAAATTTGACTCAAAAATCTTTTTTTCTGA